TATCAGTTGATTCATGCACACATTTTCCTATATTTGCATATTTTCAATCCTGTAAGAGGAATTGGTGGATTATATGCCAAATTGTTTTCCAGAGCAGTTGTTTGCTCTTAAAGTTTGTTTGACTGACCCCAAGTCATGTTTCGTTGTGTTTAATTTGGTTTCACCACAAATGAAAAATACTTCTGAATATTCTCCCTGATGTGCTATGAATGATGAAATTTTCCTTTCATGAGAAGTGAGTTGAAATTGTTCCTAGTCCTTTTGGTGCCGCCCCCCACCGCCGCCCTGACCAAGAATTGGTTCCTGTAATCTTTTGGGTTGTTCTTAGTTTGTTTTCTTACATACAATAAATGATCTATAAGGAGCTTAAGACTTGAGGGGCAGGGTGACCCTCTGCATACCTCCGGAGTTCATTCTCTGTACAGCTCCCTCCTCTCCAGTACCCTGTATTATAAACTTTATCTGCGTCTGCCTTGGCCCCCCTAAAGTCCCAGCTCTATCTCTTCAACTCAGAAGACTGCCAGCCTTAGTCTGAGTTCTACTTCTCTGCAGTACAACCTGGAGACGCTCTCTGTCCGGTAATTTGGGGCAATCATAGGGCTCATCTCATTTGTTTCCTTTGTCTCACAGATCACTGTCCGTTCAATGTCTTGAAAACTGTTGGCTTATATATTTGTCTTTTTTTTTCAGTTGTTTCAGGCAGAAGGCTACATCCAATTCCTATTATTCCATCTCATTTAGAAATAAAATGTTTCTAAATTTAAAAAGGTAAGCACAAATTTTTAAAAAATAATTTTATTTAAAAATAACGTTTTCGTCATAGGAAATTTGTGGGGCCTAATTCTTTGTTCTGTTTACTAGAGCTTCATCTAACTCCTGTTTTGTAATTTTAGATTATGAATTAATCTGCAATGGGAACTCAATTTATGGGGGTTTGGTGAGGCTTGGGCTTAGGGAACTTGCCTCTAGATCAGTTTAATGTTTGCATTTCCAAGGCTTGTCTCTTTATTTACTAGTATTATCCCTGGTCATCAAAGTAGAATATTCAAACATCAAAGGCACATGAGGACAGGCCTTGGTTAATAATTATCAGGAGAGTCAGTTTTTCCTTGACTCAGAACTCAGGTCACATTACACAAGCTTCCATGTTTCCTGGGTCTTAAAGGTAGACTTTTACTTTTTTTTCTTTTCCACATTTTTACTGAGGACACAGCACTAAGAGGGCCATGGGTTCATGTGAAAATTTCAGTTCAGCTCCCCAGGCGCAAGACTTCATCTCCTAAACCTGCTTAAGTTTACAACCCATTCCCCTGAGGCTGCGTGTCCCTACCACACACTGGTTCCCTGAGGCAAACACAGTGTTAACTCGTGAGTCTAACTCTAGTTTTCTGTTTCTTTTTCCTTTTTTGAAATTAATTTCTTTTTAATGAAGCACCGTTGTTTTATATCCTTGGTAGTATGTTGACAGTATAGGATTTCTCCCCTCAGGTGTGGTCACCGTAATTCTCCCACCAGCAAAGCACCTATAGTTTTACACCTTAGTCTACTGTGCTCTCCTTCCCCTCTACCCAGTTTTCACGCCTCCTCTTCACCCAATTTGCACGCTTCTCCCCCTCCCTTCTTGGATGCCTCAGCTCTATGGTCAGCTTTCAAGTGTTGGTTTTAAATTTTGTCTTAGTCTGATCCTTTCTCTGATTTCTCTGTATTCAACATATAAGTGAGACCATCTGTTATTTATCTTTCTCCTTCTGGCTTATTTCACTTAGCATCCCTTCCAGCTCCCTCTTTGTTGCTGCTACAAATGGCATGAATCTATCTGTTTTGATAGCTGAGTAGTATTCCATTGTGTGTATATATATATATAGTTTGGCAGTTCCTCAAAAGACTAAAAATAGATCTGCCATATGACCCAGCAGTTCCAGTCCTAGGTATTTATCCAAACAACACAAAAACACAAATTCTTTTTCCATTTTGAGAACTCAGCTGTGATCTTAAAAGAATGTTGGTTATAGTTTATCCAGAATTTCTCTATGATTATTTGGTCCTTCATATTGTCAGGAAAAGGATTTTCCAGTTTACTCTGCTCAGACTTCCACCTCCACCACTTCACTAATGCTATTCTTCAAAGGCCTTTGATGACCAGGCAGTAACTGCCAAATTCCATGGGTACTGTTTCATGTACCCATGGTGGGTGGTCCTACAACACCCACCATGTGGTCCTACTGCTAGGGGGAAAGGATGTCCTAAAGCTAATTCCATACAGGCTTTGTGGACTCCACCCCCACCCCAGGCCAAAGCCAAAGACACTGGGAACTCCAAATCCCATCACCACCAAAGGGAAGGTAACTGGGACCTGAGGGTGGGGTTAAGCAGCCAGGTGGATACAAAAGGCAGACACGTGGGCTTTGGGGGGCTCTCCATTTTTGGCTCTCCGCCAGCTCGCAGCGTCCAGCCAGCTCTGAGAGTGCCTTTGGGTTTCCTGTTGGGCGGATCGGGTAGGACGCATTAAAGACTTTATTTCCCTATTTTCTCCCTGAGTTGTACATTTTCCTTATTTCCTTTTCCCTTGTAAATAAACCTTTTATTAACCTTTTGTGTGTGCCTGTAGTGGAGTATTCATAAGTCCCTTTTAAGCGCGGGGGTGAGGACCCACAGCCAAGAACCTGTTCAATATCGGGGCTGCTCTATACCACTACAACAATGATGAAAACACCAGAGTAAAAGAGGCTTAAACCATAAAGATTGCGCCCAGAGTCAGGTTGGTAGTTCTGTTCCACTAAGAACCTGTGTCCTTTCTGTCTTGCCTCTTCACCATCCATAGTGTGGCAGTAATTGTTTTTGCCTCCTGGTCACCTGGTGGCTGTCTTCTATGACTACCTACCAGCAGCAAAAGGTGGAAAGCAAGAAGATAACTTTTTTCCTAATGAGCTTCTCTTACCAAGTAGGACAATCTTTCCAGAAGTTCCTAGCTGTTGCTTCTTTTACCCCTTTGGCAAGAGCTGGCACAAGAGACCCCTGGAGCAGTCACTGGAGAGGAGAAAGGCATCATCCCTGGGGCTGGAAACATTGCTGTGGAGTAATGACAGGGTTCTGTTGACAGGGGATCTAAGTATAGAAAGCCAGAGGGTAAAACCTCTGCCCTTGAGATCTACGTTAATATCCAGGGGAGACAACAGGAACACCAATTCGTACACAAATGCAAATCTCAGAGTCATACAAATTCAGGTGTACAAAAATGTAAGTCCTCTCTTTGTCTATACCCGAACCTAATTTCTGCCCTAAGCCCCCACTCTGCTCCACAAAAGAAACCTGATCCACCACGTAAACTGAGTCATATGAACTCAGACAGGGGTAGGCAGCCCACTGTGTCTACCACACACACCTTCTCCGTGCCTATTGTTTAAACCATGCAGAACAAAACCTCTGACTGGGAAGGAGATTTTTCAGAGGCATTAGACAACGCTGCCTATCTGGCCTTAAAACATAACCCTCCCTTGCTCGAACAGGTTCCTGAATTGCAAACTGACCCTGAGTCATACCCTCCCCCCTAAGGAAAGCTGTCACATCCGCTTTTTTTTTTTTTTTTTTAACTTGTTTGTTGATTTGAGTATCAGAGCTTTGTATCAACGGTAGGGTGGGGAGAGACAAGAGAGACAGCTTTAACTTACTTTAAATCTGAAGTAGAGGAAAAAGTCACCCAGATGAGTTTATTTGGAAGCAACTAGATTAAATCCCTGTGTTGGGTGGAATAAAGACTGGAGCAGAGGTGAAGTTCAGGTGCAGACAAATAAAGGGATCACGTTTTGCCTGAGTTGGCGTCACTCTGAAATCTGCATCTGCTACATCTGTTGATGTTTCTGTGGTTGCTGACACACAACTGGCACCTCAAGGACAGAGATCCTGCCTTATGAATTTTTTTACCTCCTTCCTTTCCCCTTCCTGAGTATCCACCTAGCACAGGACCTGCAATATAACAGTTGCTCTACAAAAATGCTTAATAAAAGATTGAGTGAATGAATGAATGGGAACAAGAGGTACTGCAATGGAAGAATACAAACCCCAGAGACTTTTTAAAACACAGATCTATTTAACTGTATCCTGATTAAGGAGAGCAATGTAGAAATGTGGGGAGAGAGAGAGAGAGAGAGAGAGAGAGAGAGAGAGAGCGAGCGAGCTCTGCAGACATAGCGGAGCTACCACACTAAGAGAAGACAACCTAATCAGAGAAGGCAGCCGGGGCCCCACCTGACTCCTGCAGCTGGGGCGGGGTGGGGTGGGGGGTTGGGGGAAGAACTAGAAGGTTCAGCAGGAACAGTCGCCCTTTCTCCTGCGGCTCCACAGCCTCCCCACCTCCGCCCCACTCCCACGGTTCTGGGAGGAGGCATGGAAGCTGTGGGGAGGTGGGGGCAGCGGAGCTGGGCTCTCCAGAATGAGGCAGGATGGTGTGAGCTCAAACGCCCTGCAATTGCTGGAGCAACGGTGGCGACACGAGTTATTCACAAAGGCTGGAATTCAAATGAGGCTGGCACTGCTCCAAGTCGCAGTAGCTGAGGAGAGAGAAAGGCACATTAACTATTCATCAAGATCTCAGCCTCGCCTGGGCTCTGAGGGTTCTCCATCTGCATCCCTCCCTCTATTACTGCTTTTGGGGGGAGGGGGCGCCTCCAGAAGCACTTTATCTGTCAGTCTGTGAGCTGGAGGTGGGGGCGGGGGGCTGAAGTTAGGCAGATTTGTCTCATCACATGATGGGGGACCTGTATCACGTGATGGCGCCGGTGATGTTGGAAGCAGCATGTGACTCCCGGGGCTACGTGGGCTCAAAAACAATTTAAATACAAAAACACAACCTGGTTCCCTCCTCTCCTTTGCCTTTCGGTCGGGCTCTCCCTACCTTGGGGTGGGTGCCTGACTGAATGGAAACCTCTCATCTTGCAGCCACTAACCTGTGAGCACCAGGTACCTGGAGACCAGGCCCCTCTGCGGGGGTCCCCCAGGAGCTGCACCCCACCATTCTTCAGCCCACTGACTCCCAGCCTGGTAAGTTACTGAACACTTTGCGCAATTATCTGTGAAGCTGTCATAGACTGCCTCATTAGCATGCACAGGGCACCCTCGTCGGCCGGCACGTTGGAAGGAAAGTGCCTGCCGGCTTCGGGGAGCTGCAGCTCTCAGACCTTGCCAAACAGACGCAGCCTCCTGGGGAGCCGCCTGTGCCGGTGACTGGGTTCGCTGGCGAGGAAGGAGTGTCTCCATCTCTTCTCTCCTGCTGTCTTTCCAGCCTTCTCCCTCCTCTCTGTCTTGCTCCTCTCAGTATCTCCCCTTCTCCTTTGTCACCCCTCTTTTTATTTTCTCATTTTATTCACCTCCCACTTTCTGTCTCTCTCTTTCCCACTGCTTTTTCTTTTCTTGCCCTTTAAAATTCTTTTTTCATACAGCTTGATTCTATGTCCTTTCTGTCCAGAACCTGAAGGAGCATCTTCGGGAGATTTGGTAGTTGGAAATGTTCTGGCTATCCCTTCTAAAAGGTTTCTCTTCAGACAATGTCGATGGCCCAGTTCCTGTTGGGTGTGTGTGTGTGTACACGCATCTGTGTTGAGGGTGATTGATGTATTTCTTAGGGACATAGGAACTGCTTCTTGGGGAGATGTTTGTTGGCTCCAGATCTCTGCTCAGTTAGGGGCTCATCAAGTTGCAGCAGTCTGGAGACAATGCTCTTTGACCCCAAATGTCTGACTCTGTGGGAAAAGTCGGGTCATAAAGCAGGGGCCCAAATCCAGGATTTAATGCTGAGGGCCCACTCAGGTGTCAACAAGGCATCTCAAAGAGCAGGTTCAGAGTTTGAAGCTGCACCTTTGCAGAGTGAGCAAGCGTAGGCTGAGGTTGACTGTGTCAGAAACTCCTGGTTCACTGTAATCCGGGCATGCTGATATCCGCTCAGCAAGAAATAATTTTTGAGCACCATCTACCCAACAACTCAATGAGTAGGTGCTATTTGAACCTTGTTTTAGAGATAGAGAAACTGAGGCAGGAAGTGGTTAGGTCACTCAGTCTGTAGAGCTAGGATTTGAGCCCCAGCAGCCTTTCTCCAGGTCCTGCACATGTAACCAATATGATATGCAGGTAGCACAAAATATTCAAGCCACATTCATGAACAAGACAGAGACGTCTTGTTCTGTTGGAACTCACAATCCGGTGGAGAAGACAGCTAGCTAACATCATCACACAAGACAATATAGTGTTCCGAGGAACATGTTAAGGAGAATAATATGGTACTATGAGAAAGAGACAAAGAGTCGAAAGATGTAATATATAAGTTCTGACGTGAAAGAGGAGAGGGAGTCAATCAGTCAATCTAGTCAATCAGGTAAAGAACCAGGAAGAGCATTCTAGGTAGAGGGAACAGCAGGTGTGAGAACTTGAGGCGGGAAAGGAAGGAATGCTGATGGGCTGAGCATAGTGGTTGGGGGACCACAGCAGGAGGTGAGACCATGAAGATTATGTGGGTGTCTTCAGACCTGTTAAAGTGTCTTAAGTTTCATCCCAGGATCAATGAAGAACCATTAAAGCATTTTAAGTAGGGAATAGTATACTAAGGTCTGCAATATGAAACTCTTCTTCAAGAGTTGTTTCAGTTTTTGCTGCATTACAAAACACCCAAAATTTAGTAGCTTAAAACAACAATTATTTGTAGCTCATTATGCTGCATGTTGGCAGTTGTCACTGGAATCACCTGGACTGGACTCTGTTCTTCCCTGGGCTCCTATGGTAGCTCTGGTCAGCTGGCAGGCTGACTGGGGTGGTTGACCTTACATGGTCTCAACATGTGTCTGCTCATTGGCAAAAGCAACTGAAACTGGCCGGCCATGTGTTGCCATACTAGTGAGCTGGCCCAGTTTTCATGTGGGGACTGGGGTCCAAAAACAGCAAGAGAGGGGCAGGCCCAAGATACAAGCACTTTTCAAGCATTGCTTGCATTTGTTTGCTAGCCCTCCATTGGCCTAGACAAATGATAGGTCAAGTCCACGTTCAAGGGATAGAGAGATTAACCTCTTGACTGGAGGAGCTACAAAATGTTGTGTGTAATTGTTTCTTGTCTACTACTGGGGTTCAGTCTACCCTGGGATTCCAGTAATTCAAAACAATGAGCTATATACTGTCTTCCTCTACCATGGAAGGAAAGCCAAGAAGAAATTTGGAGCCAATTTTGCTATGAATGGAGAAGAACTTAGACCTGGTTATACATCAGACTTTGCTTTCTGTTGAGAACAAGCAGGAGACAGGGCATTCCCTTTGACCATGGGTCAGGGTTATCTGGGAATGACTTGGAGCCAAAGAAGACTTTTGAGGTCATTACCCTAGGATGAAATTTGGGCCACATGGAACTCAGAATGTTTTAAATGTTCTAGTCAAGGCAACAGCATCTGCAAAGACCCTGAGGCAAGGAAGTAGGTGGCTTGTTTGGGAAATAGGCAATTTAGTTCAATGTAACTACAGCAGAATGGGAATAGACAAATTCAAAAAATGTGTAAGAGGGAGAAAAAACTAGGCTTACTGATGGATTTGGCAGGAGTTGAAGAAAAGGGTTGTATTAAAGGAGAACCCCAGGTCTTTCTACTAAGGCAGAAAGACTAGAGAGAATCAAAGTATTTGGAGGAGGGGAAGGCAGGGGAAAAAAATCAAGCATCCTATCAACTGGGTCAAATGTTGCTGAGACAATGAGTAAATTGAGGACAGAAAATTATCTATTTGCTTTGGCAACATGGAGAGCTGAAGATTTTGACCAGAGTGATTTAGGAAGCGTGGTGAGGATGGAGACCAGGGTAGAGTGGGTTAAGGAGGGAAAGAAAGTAAATAAACAGTGAAAGGGAGAAGGGAAATTAGGCAATATTTAGATCTGGATCAGGATTAGGAGAACTGTCTTGGTTTTATGTTTGCTTTAAAATGAAAAACAGGAACCTGTACATGATGTGAGCCATTGGAGTTGCCCAGTTGAAAGGGAGGGCGGGAATGGAGCCAAAGTGTCTGAATGAACAGGTGACAATAGGTTTTTATTTGTTTGTTTGTTTGTTTTAAAGATTTACTTATTTTTTCATACAAGGCTGGGGTACAGGCCACAGGTGCAGCGGATGAGAGGATTCACCAGAGACAGAGTGGGGAGCAGCAGGCTAGATGGGAGAGGTCTGCTGTGCCCTATGTGAGTCAGCTCCCTGACCAGGGATAGAACTCATGCTGCAGTGCCTGGTGATAGCTTGATATTGCTCTATCTTTAACCCCTGTGCCACCAGAGAGGCCCCAGTTTTTGGGTTTTTTTTTTTTTTTTTTTTGTAGGTGAGAATAATGAGAAAAAAAGATGAATCAGAGACACAAAAACTTGTAGATTTGGGATCAATTGAGGGAAGAATTCCCTATCTGTTAACTTTTATTTTCACAATGAAGTATAAGACAAGGTCATTTGCAAAGAGAAATGGAGATACAAAAAGGGAAGAAGAGAATAGATTAAATGAGCATCTTGGAGAGGATGAAATAGCATCCTAAGGGTAGCTGGGCAAAGCAGAATGACTGTTAAGAACAGAGAGCATGTATTTAAAATGGTGTCGTGTTCTCCAGTAACATGTAAGCACTTGGCTCAAGCTCCTGGAGATGGTGGAGTGTAGATAGGTTAACGTGTTGCTGGGCAAATTCCAGAAAAGGGCAATAATGTTGAAGGGCTTACAAGGGAATAATTGTTAAGGCGTAGTGACAGAATAGAAGGTGCACCTGAATGGCAATGGAACCAGGAAGCAATGATGGAAAATGAGTAAATGGCAGACTGAATGGAATAGAGGGTATGATGAGGTGCAAGTCTTGTTCTTGGAGGGGCTGCAGCACCATCATTATCTGGGAGCTTTGGTAGAGTCAGTGTCACCTGGGAGCTTGTTCGAAATGCAGATATCAGGCCTATCCCAGATGCTCTGAATTAAAATCTGTGTTCTCATAAGATCTTCAGGTGATCTTTCAATGCCCATCAAAGATTGAGAATCACTGGTCTAGGATGTCTTGTGGGGAGAAAATGGTGCTCTTCTGGATAAGGTGAGATGGTCATGAACCCCTAAATGTCACATTCATTTTTTTTTCTTCATTTCAAAAGAGGTCTTGATTTAACAAAAGTATCCTCTTTTGCCCTGTTTTTTTTTTTATTTTACTTTTTATTAGTTTTATCTCATACATGTGCATCCCCAAGCAATACATTGTTTTTCTGATTTTTTGAGTTATATGTAAATGTAATCATACCATGATTTTCTCCTGTGACATTTATTTTGCTCAGTATTTTATTTTTGAGATTTATCTATGTTTGGGTATGAAGCTATCATTCAGTTGTTTTCATTGCTCTATAGTAATCCACCATGAGAATGTGCTACATTGTCCATTTATTACAGGGCAGGGAGAGGGGCAGCCCAAACCCCACAAACCTGTCTATTCTAAATGGGTTTTGCCATGCGCCGCATCAACACAAAGCACATGAGACTTTAATGAGAAGGAACTTTAATACAGCTAGGAAACAATACAGGAAAGGTAAAGAATCTAGTTTCTAAATCAAGCACCCAAAGTTACCTGTCCCCTCGTGGGTAAGAGTCCACCCAAGTAGGATTGGCCCAGAGCAAGGCCCCAACGCCTGCCACAAGTCTAAAGCATCTTCCAGTGGGGACCCACAGAAAAGGATCAGAAACAACCAGACAAGCCCCAAAGGAAAAGAGCAAAATCAAAATCAAGATAAAAGCCGCCATTGTCATCTCCCCACGGGTCTTACCCACGTCTGTGTCACCCAGTCCACGACCAAAAGGCAAACGTGGTTTCTTCACGTATCTCTCGGCTCCATGCGCCTCCTCCAGGTCTCCTTCTGGCTCCATCCTGCTTCCTTCCTTCCTCAGTCTCCTCTGCAGCTTCTTTTCTCTCTGCTCAGCTCCACCCTCCATTTGGGTGGGGCAGGGAACCTGGAACCTCCCCCTTTCCTGGGGACCACCCTGTTACACATTCAGCTATTGATGGCTATTTGGGTC